GTCTGTTCACTCTAAAGGGTTTTGCATCAGACTGTTATAGAGAAATGGTTTAAAAGTTTCATATGTTTCATAACCTATTAAAAAGGAGCTTTTTTTTTTTTCAGCTGAAACATTAAGAAAAAAACAGTACCAACATAGAGGGCAGCAATACCAGAGGGGCAAAAACACCCCAACTGGCAGTCACAATTAGTGACAAAACTCCAACTGCCCATCAGAGACCTGGTAAAAATAAACCTGCTAAGGGGATGGTGTCCAGTGGGCTTATGGGTACAGTCTGTGGAGGCACTGAAAGCATAGCTGCCCCAAAGAAGTCTAAACTTCCTGGGCCTTGTCCACTGTGCAGTCCAGAAAGACATTAGGAAGGAGGTCCACTCTCTTCTGAAAAGAGGAGAGAACCCTTGGCTCACAAATGGTGGCCACCTACGGAGGCCTGGAAATGTGCTAAAGTGCCTGGCACTGACTCACCATCACCTCACAACCCCCAGGTAAATATTAGGGTGTGCCATTTTGTCCTGGCCATCCATGTTGTAATCATATAGCCTTACCTCAATTAAAGTTACTAAAAGTAGACCGGGTGCAGTGGCTCGCACCTATAATCCAATTTCTAAGAAATTGGTCCTTAGTTTCCATAGTGTGTAGATCTGTACTTTTACTCACATATGGGAGCTCATATAATAATTCATAGGGAGATAAACCCACATCTTTTTGGTGGTCCATTCTAATTCTGAAAAGAGCAATTGGAGGTAATTTCAGTCAGGGTAATTTAGCTTCCTTCTAACATTCCTTTAGCGATATGCTTTTTGAGGATCTGATTTATTCTTTCTATTTTTCCGGAAGAAGGAGGGTTCCAGAAAGTGTGGTGATCCTATTGAATGTGTAAATTTTTCATTACTCCCTGCAATACTTGTGATGTAAAATGGCTACCAGTCTGGGTTCAGTGGCTCAGCTTGTTAACGCAGCATTTTGGGAGGCCAAGGTGAGTGGATTGCCTGAGGCCATGGGTTCGAGACCAGCCTGGGAATATTGGTAAGACCTCATCTCTATGATAAATCAAAAATAATCCAGTCATGGTAGTGCATGCCTGCAGTTCTGGCTACTTGGAAGGTTGAGGCAGAAGGATTGCTGGAGCCCAGGAAGTCAATGGTGGGGTGGCCATGAGTGTGCCACTGCACTCCAGGCTGCACGATGGAGTGAGACTCCAACTCAAAAAATAAAAATAAAATAAAAGGACTTCCATTACATGAATTTACATTTTCTATGAGTCCAAATTTGGGTATAATTCGTTCCAGAATCACAGTGATTAAAGACCCTGCTATAGCTAGTGGGAAAGCCCCTACACAACTGAAGAGATGATTCACTATTATCAACAAGTACTTTAATTTTCCCATCCTTGGCATTTAGTAAAATCCACATGAATGCTTTGGAATGGTCTCAATTCTGAGGTTCTTCCTTCTACATCTTGTTTTCAGATCACCTTTTATTAATTCTTTGACAGGTCTACATGCCTGTTTAGCAATAGTATAAGTGCCTATGCATCCATAGGTTTTTTGCTTTTTGTTTTTTTGAGTAGAAGTCTCACTTTGTCACCCAGGCTGGAGGGCACTGGCATGCTCCCAGGCACTGCAGCCTCAACCTGCTGGGCTTACGCGATCCTTCTGCCTCAGCTTTCTGAGCTGGACCTACAGGCACATGCCATTATTATGCCCAGCTAATTTTTTGATTTACTGTAGAGATGAGGTCTCGCCAAGTTTTCCAGACTGGTCTTGAACCCTCAGCCTCAGGCAGTCCTCTCACCTCGGCCTCCCAAAGTGCTGGGATTATAGGCATGAGCCACAGCGCCAGGCCGGGTTTTTTTTTTTTTTGAGTTGGAGTCTCACACTGTCACCCAGGCTGGAGGGCAGAGGCACACCCCAGCTAGGACAACCTCGACCTGCTGGGTTCAGGCCATTCTTCTGCCTCAGATTTCCAAGTAGCTGGAACTACAAGCATGCACCACTATGCCCAGCAAATTTTTTGATTTATTGTAGAGATGAGATCTCACCAAATTGGACAGACTGGTCTCAAACCCATGAATTCACACAATCCTCTCACTCTGGCCTCCCAAAGTACTGGGATTATAGGCATAAGCCACCACACCCAGCCTATGGAGGTATTTAATATGGCATCACACATGGCTTAGGGACCTCAGTAGCTCCCCTATGTAGCATAGTCCTTAATTTTCTCATATGGTCTTGCTAATGATCTCTCTCTCATCCAGGAGGAACCATTGTTAATTTCCATTCTGAATAGCTCTTAGCTCATTTAATTCTCCCTCTTCTCTAGTGAACTGGGGACTCTCAGTACCACTTTAGGGATATTGGGAATTAGACTTAAGAATTTGACCTCTTCTTCTTGAGTGGCTTGTTTCATACCTTCATCTGCAAGCCAATTTCCTACTGTTGTAACTGAGTCACAAGAAAATAGATTGCCCACACAGCAAAAGGTCAAATTATGAGTCCTTTATCAGCCGGAGGGGTTATACCACCAAAATCTCTTGACCCAAGTGAAATTCTCAGGGGGTGTTTTTATAGGCAAACTGAGGAATTACAGACCTAGAACATCTGGTTTGGGGTTAGGCAAGGGTATGTAGGAGTGCAACTCAGATAAGGGAGAGCACTGGGAGGGCATGGGGCAATGGGTTTGATTACACACAAACTCTTAAAATGTTGCATCAGTCACACAGGGGTTTAAGCAAAGTGTAGTTCTATAACAAAATGGAGTTTTAACAATTTTGAAACTAAAATCATTAATATTAAACCTCAAACAATTTGAACACTGCCAACACATCAAACACTTCATTCCTCCCTTTTAGTTTTTCATAAGTCAAAGCATTGACTTGGTTGTATATGGCTATATGATTTCAACATAGATGGCCAGGACCAAAAGACTGACACCTATATTAAATTAAGAAATTAATCTGGGTTCCAGCCACCCTAATATTTACCTGGTTTTCAGGCCTCTATAAATGGTCACCATTTGTGAGCCAAGTGTTCCCTCATCTCTTCAGAAGAGAATACACCTGTTTCTCGATGGCTTTCAGGAGGCAAAGGCCTTTTAGGGCAACTACACTCCCAGTTCCTACAGACGATTCCCATACATCATTCCCTTGTCAGGTTTCTTTGTGCCAGGTCTCCAATGGGTGCTTGGAGTTTTGGTTGCTAATTGTGACTGCCAATTGGGGTGCCTCTTTGGCCCTCTGGTTCTGCTGCCCTCTATGTTGACACTAATTTCTTTTGGTTAAAAAAACTTATTTGGCACTTTAAACATTGAACTTTAAATGTGTTAATGCATTAAGCATTGTAAATAGCACTGCAAACATTAAAAATTGCTAACATTTCATTTCTCCCTTTCAGTTGTTTGTGAGTCAAAGCATTGACTCGGTTATGGGAAAGGGGCTATGGGGGATCTTAAGTTTAAAAGTTTTACATTTGATATTTGTCTTTTCACAAAATGAACACTCCAATTTAATATGCAGGGTCCTATGAGTAAAGCAAGGAGAATAAGTATAATGGGTCTGGCCAGGTCAGTAACAAGTAAGTGTTATTAGCCATGGGTTCCAATTAAATAGGGACTGGAGCCAGGATTTATTATTTTCTGAATTCCTTTTTTATTTTGGTATGCCATCTCAGACTTTTTGCGTAGGTAATACCAGTGTTTGTTATATCAGGCTTGTTAAGATTATATTTATTAAAAAATGTTAAGTTACTTTTACTAAACCAAGTACTTCTGCTGGATGAATAAAATACTGGGAACTTTGTGTGGATGCAATCCTGAAAACTGATCATTCTCACCTAATTGCCCACACCTTACAACTATGACTTTAGCAATTTATAAGGATTTTTAACAAATTTGCTTGTTCCTAATTTTAAATAAGTACGGACAAATTATTTCACATCCATGTGGTCTCTTCACTCTAAAGGGCTTTGCATCAGATTGTTACAGAGAAATGGTTTTATAGTTTCATATGTATAACCTATTAAAAAGGAACCTTTAAGGGTTTTTTTTTTCAGCTGAAATATTAAGGAAAAAAACAGTGCCAAAATAAAGGGCAGCAATACCAGAGGGTCAAAAACACCCAAACTGGCAGTTGCAATTAGTGGCAAAATTCCAACTGCCCATCAGAGACCTGGTAAAAATGAACCTGCTAAGGGAATGGTGCCCGGTGCTTATGTGTACAATCTGTGGGGGCACTGAAAGCATAGCTGCCTCAAAGAGGTCTAAACCTCCTGGATCTTTTCCACTGTGCAGGCCAGAAAGCCATTGAGAAGCAGGTGCACACTCTTCTGAAGAGTGGAGAGAACACTTGGCTCACAAATTGTGACCACTTATGGAGTCCTGGAAATGTGCTAAAGTGCCTGGCACTGGCTCACCATCAACCCAGCAAACCCCAGGTAAATATTAGGGTGTGCCTTTTGGACCTGGCCATTCATGTTGGAATAATATAGCCTTACATTAATTAAAAGTTACTAAAGGTAGACTGAGTGTGGTGGTTTATGCCTATAATCACAGTATTTTGGGAGGCCAAGGTGAGAGGATTGAGTGAGCCCACAGGTTCCAGACCAGCCTGGGCAACTTGGTGAGATCCCATCACTTCAATAAATCAAAAAATTAGCCAGGTATGGTGGCATGTGCCTGTAGTTCCAGTTACTTGGAAGTCTGAGGTGGAAGGATCACCTCAGTCCAGCAGTTGATGTTGTGATGGCCATGAGCATGCCACTTGACTTCAGCCTGGGTGACAGAATGAGACTTCAACTCAAAAAAAAAAAAAAATCACATTGTCAGCAAAGAGTATGATAATGCAACGTCCTCTTTTCCTATATAGATACACCTGATTTTCTTCACTTGTCTAATTGCCCTAGCTAGGACTTCCAACACAATGTTGGACAAGAGTGGTGAGAGTGGGCAGTCTTGTCTTGTTCTGGTTTTCAGGGGAAGTGTTTCCAGTTTCTGTTTCTTTATCAATATGCTAGCTGTTGGTTTATCATAGATTGCACTTACTATTTTGAGGTATGTTCCTTATATACCTTGGTGTTTCAGAGTTTTTGTCAAGAAGTGATGCTGGATTTTATCAAAAAGTTTTTCTGCATCTAATGATATAATCATGTGGTTCTTCTTTTTACATCTGTTGAAGTATGTAATTGCATTTATGGTCTTGCAGATGTTGAACCAGCCATGCATCCTGGGGTCGATGCTTGCTTGGTAATGGTGAATGGTTTTTGAGATGTGTTGTTGGGTCTCATTTGCTAGAATCTTGTTGAGAATTTTTGCATCTATGTTCATAATTAAATGACCATGAAATAACTGATAGGAATGAAATAGCTAATGAAATAACTGAAATAGCTTGCCTGGCATAAGTAACTTCATTTTGTTTAAATCCTCCAACTTAGTTGCCTGCCTAAGAATAACCCCCCAATGTGTTATTGCTGTAACATTCCCATGACAACAGACCTATAGCTTTGTTCCCGAGCTGATCATGCTGACCGTTCCTGCTGTTTACAAAACTCCCTAGTCACAAGTTCCATGTAATTGTATGCTTTGATAACTGAAATCAGATATTGTGTCAAAATTGTTTATCAATTATTCCTTGCAAGATTCCCCTACCACATCCCTATAATTTTTTCCTATATTTTGTTCCTTTTTGGTTTTAGTTCCTCATTCCCTCACCCCCTTGCTCACCCCCCTGCTATGTAACCTACTTGGAGATTTTACCTATAAAAGCTTCTTACAAATTCCACTCAAGCATCAAGAGCCTCCTGGTGTGAGCCTACGCTTGACTGTATGCTTAATAAGACTTGTGATTTGGACTCGGCATACTGGTGTGTCTTTTTCTCGCAATTAGGTCATAATATTTGGAGACCCAAGTAAGAAATCCACCAGTATACATGAGTGCCTCACTCTAGCCCTCCCTGGTCAAGAGGAGAGGTTGTAGGGGAGGTGCCTCCTGAGATTCTCAGGCCCTGAAAGCTCTCATCTGACTCTGAGGGAGTTGGAATGACTACTTGCAACTACTGCCTCAAAAGAACCTAAGTCTGTCTACGGTCTCCCAGGAGGTAAGATTTATTTTTTTGGTTTTCTATTTACTTGCCTGTGACTGAAGTTTCTGTTTCTGTTTAAAGGAGCTATGGCCTGCTGAAGTCACCCTTTGGACACTATTCGGAGCCAAGACGTTGGCTGAATAGAGTCCTCTTGTTTTCTGCCCTGAGGTGTTCCAGGGATCTGAATCTTTTCTGTTTTGATCTGGACATTTAGTCTGTCTATGTGCCTTTGCTTGTTGTGCATCATGGGATCTCAGAATTCAAAACCAATCAGTCCTCTGGACTGTATGCTAAAGAATTTTTCTATTGCATTTGCTAAGAACGATGGGGTCTACCTCTCTAAGGGCAGACTCTGAACACTCTGTAAGATAGGCTGGCCTGCCCTTATGTTGAATGGCCCTCTACAGGGTCTCTGGATGTCAAAGTGACTGAATCTGATTGGAAGGTTGTTATGGGAAATCCTGGCCATCCAGATCAGTTCCCCTATATTGATCAGTGGTTAAGTTTGGTCCAGAACCCACCACTCTGGTTGAAAGCATGTTATCTTGAAATCACCAGTCAACTCCTGGTCACCTCATCTCTTAACTGGCCAGGGTATACTAATCCTCATGATATGGACTCTCCTCCACCTAAGCTGTCAGTGATTCGATGGTCCCGCCTTCTCCATCACCTATTCCTGCTTCTTACAGGTTATACCCTGTTTTGCCTCCCTCTACTGAGGATCCTATTGAGGATCCAGCTAACTCTAACCCTCCACCATATTGTCCTCAGGCTTCCTCATCGACTGTTACTTCTACCACCTCCTCTTGCTCACAACCATTGATGGCCCCAGATGCAGTTGCAACTGCAGCTATCTCTTGTTCCACCCCTTCTCTGTCTTCTCCACCTTTGGCTGTGCATCTCTGGTCCTAGACTGACCCAACCCCTCTCGTTCCCTTTCAGAAAGTCCCTCCACCAGAGGGGACAGATCAGAACAAGTGGTTGTTTTTGGTGTATACCCCATTTTCTTCTTCTGATTTATCTAACTGTAAGTATCAGAACCCTATGTTCTCCACTAAGTCACAGACCCTGATTTCCTTAATGGAATCAGTTATGCCTATCCATTGCCCCACTTAGGACGACTGTCAGCAACTCCTTGTAATACTGTAGAAAAGCAGGAATGAATTAGGGCTGAAGATAGAAAGTCTATTCTGGACTCCATTGGGGGCAACCAGGAGGAGAGTTAAAAAATGTTAAAAGAGGTCTTTCCCCCTACTTGCCCAGATTGGGACCCCAACACTTTGATGGGGTCTAGGGTATTGGAAACCTATCACCAGGCTCTATTAGCAGGTTGGAAAGGTGCAGCCCAAAATCCTATCAATCTTTCTAAAACTACTAAAGTTCTCCAGGGACCTGGGGAACCTCCATGGGTGTTCCTCAAGTGCCTCCAGTAGGCGTTTCCAACTTACTCACTTTTTGATCCCTCGGCTGTTGAGAATGTTCAAGCTATTAATTTGGCATTTGTGACTCCGGCAGCTCCAGACATACAGAAAAAGTTGCAAAAGCTGGAAGGCTTTGCAGGAATGAATATTTCTCAGCTGCTTGAAGTAGCTGAAAAAGTATGTCATAACTGAGATGCTGAGAAACAAAAAGATAGTGCAGGCAGCTGACAGAGCTGCAAGAAGACAAGCCCAAATCCCAGTAACAGCCCTCCAGGCCCCAGGAACTGATTACAAGCTTCCTGGTCAAAAGTTTGATAACCAGTTGGGCTCGGTGACTCAGCCTGTAATCCCACACCTTTGGGAGGCTGAGGTGAGTGGATTGCCTGAACCCGCGGGTTCGAGACCCACCTGGGCAGCGAGACCTCATCTCTACAATAAATCAAAAAAAGTAGCCGGGTGTGGTAGCAGGTGCCTGTAATTCCAGCTACTTGGAAATCTGAGGCGGAAGAATCGCTGGAGCCCAGCAGGTCGAGGCTGCAGTGGCCGGGAGCAGCCACTGCACTCCAGTCTGGGCGACAGAGTGAGACTCCAACTCAAAAAAAAAAAAAAAAAGTTTGATAGCCAGAAAGGTCAAAAGGGTCAGAAACCAGGGTGCATTCGGTTGATAAAGAACCAGTGTGCTTATTGCAAGGAACTAGGACATTGGGTCAAAGACTGTCACCACTGTCCACAATAAGAGGACCCTAAAGTCAGTTCTAGTCTTGCCCTCTGCTGGAGAGGCTGGAAATGATTCAGATTGTAAGGGCCAAGGCTCTTTGTCTTTAGGCTCCCAAGTGCCCATGGTCACCACTGTTATCAGGGACAACTCAGTTCAACTCTTAGTGGACACTGGGACAGGGCATTCAGTCCCAAAGTCACCATTGGGACCTCTATCCAAAAAGCAAATTTTTGTACAAGGGGTAACAAGGGCAGTTACTAACTGCAAATTCACCTCCAACTGGACTGTCTATTTGGGACAAAAGTGAGTCACCCATTTGTTTCTAATAGCTCCAGACTACCTGTTTTCATTTTTTAAAAATTGTATTACAAGAATCTTTAATGTTTACTTTAAAACTGACTTATGGTGGGGTTGAATACATATTCAGTAAAGTGTGCCAAATGCTCACATTGAGACCAGTTCAGTTCAAATCAGTTCACTCCACATGGATGTGTCCTGTGCCAGCTTTGCTAGTGAATTCTTCCAAACTCTCCAGGAACAGTCTATCCCAGTACACATCTTTCATCGCATAGGAAAGAATAAAATGGAAACTCTTTCAATGTGTTTCATGAGTTTAGCATGACTCCGGTACAAAAATTCAAGCAAGGTAGCACAAAAGCGAAAGCACCAACTGAGCTTACTTATAAACATACATGCATAAATCCTAAATACTACTTAATAGTACCCAAATGAATACAACATTGCATTAAAAGTTATAAAAGCACTGTACTGAAAACTTAAAAGTTACACGTGAATACTGCACTGTAAATCCTGCATACGCTAATGGCCCACCCCCACCCTTCCACAGCCCTGGCGAGGGTCAGAAACTATTAATCTGCCTCCAGATCTCACTAGTCCTCGGAGACACTGCTGCGGGGGTAGTGGGCAGTGGGATTAGCCTCCCGCAGAGCTCTGGCCTCCTCCAGAGCTTCTCTGTAACGGGAAGGCCAGGCCTGGGGATCTTTCTTGAAGACCTTGGCCAGGAACTCCATGATCTGCATCTTGGTGATCTCACGACTGGCCCGGGAGCCCCAGAAGAACTCATACTCCGGGGGCTCCATGAGGGTACACGCTGGTACTTCAGATAATTCTGCCGCACAAACTCCTCGGTGATGAGCTTCCTCACGTCCCCGAAGGTAAAGTGCTTCTTCCAGGGCCGCAGCCCCAGAATGCGCAGCACGTTCCAGACGGCGCTCTCCCGGGTGCCGCGGCCCTTCACGTAGATGAGGCTCAGGATCATGAGCAGGAGGCCCGTCATGGGCATGCGGTTGCTCAGCGCCACCCTGTTCAGTTCCTCCGGCTCCAGCGCCTTGACCAGCGCAAACTCCATGGTGTGGAGGCTGGTCAGCCGCAGGTGCAGCCCAAACACACGCGCGAGGATGAGGCTGGTGCAACGGAGGATGCTCGGACCACTTCTTGTAGCTGCTGATGACATCCTTCACCATGTCTGGGAACCAGATGACCATCTTCTTCTGGTCCTTGACCAGCACGTACCACATGAGCTCGTGCGCCTTCTGCACCAGCTGCTCGGGGGACGCGGGCCTGGCTGGGCCGCGCTGGGGGGCTGGGGGGCACGGTCCTCCTCCACGGCCTGCGGCGGGGCCTTCGGGTCACCCTCGTTGCTCGGGGTCTGGGGCGGCGGGGCTCGGGGGCGCCGCGGGGGTCGCGGGCAGGACCCCCGCCGGCGCTCCAGGGCTGCCGGGCGCCTCGGAGCCGGGGTTCTCGGCCGCAGAGGTGGGGTCGCTGAGAGCCTTACTTTGCTCCAACATGTCGGCGCCGTCTGATGGGGTCAGGGCCTGTGCGTCCTGGAGCTCCTCGAGCCGTGCTCCCGAGGCGGACTCCCGAGAGAAATTCTGTTTTCTCTTATGAGTCAAGACTTACTTCAAAAGCTAAGAGCCACCACTGTGTTTTCACCTGACAAAACTGAAATGTTTATTCCTACTGCCATCAGATGCTCTTGACAGTTCTGTTCTCTGAAGAATAACTTTTAACTTCTTCTAAGTCCTCTACTGAAAATGTTCTGTCAAGTTTACTGCTACAGTTGCAGCAGAAGTTTCCTTCAATCTGGGTCAAGACCAACCCACCAGGATTGGCAGAACATCACCCTTCAGTGGTGGTAAGTCTAATAGCATTGGTACTCCTGTTCACATTCATCAGTATCCTATGAGTTTACAGGCTCAGAAAGGAATTGCTCCTCACATAAAAAGACTCTTGGCTGTGAATATTCTAACACCATGTAAGTCGGCATGGAACACTCCCTTCCTGCCAGTTCAGAAACTGGGAACTTCTGACTATCGACCAGTTCAGGACTAAATGGAAGTCAATAAGTGGGTTGAAACTATCCATCCAGCTGTTCCTAACCCATACACTTTGCTCAGTCTGCTTCCTCCTCAACATCGGGTATACACTGTACTGGATTTAAAGGATGCTTTCTTTTCTATTCCTTTGTCCTTTGTCAGCCAACCCATCTTTGCTTTTGAATGGACAGATTCATATTTCAGAGGACACCAGTCAGTTAATGGACTCCATTACCACAGGCCTTCAAGAACTCCCCAACTCTTTTTGGAGAAGGCTTGCAACAGGATTTGTCAGTGTTCCATGCTCAGCACCCTGAATGTATTCCGCTGCAATTTGTACCTCTTACTTGTGGCTGCAGACCTGAACACTTGTTTAAATGGTACTAAGGCTTTATTACAGCTCCTCCAAGTCCTAGGCTATCATGTGTCAGGGAGAAGGTACAGTTCTGCTCATCTGAAGTTTCCTACCTGGGATACCAGCTTAAAAAGTGTAAGTGAGCCCTAACTTCACCCCTGAAGGAAGCCATTCTTCAAATTCCCGTGCCAACCACCAAGAAACAGGTATGAGAATTCCTGGGGGGTGGAAGGGCATTGCCAGCTGTGGATCCCAGGATTTTCTGAGATTGCCAAGCTCCTGTGCACAGTCATGGCAGGAGATCAGCACCTAAACTGGACTGCTACTGAGGAACAGGCATTCCAGCAATTAAAAATGGTCCTGACTCAAGTCCTGGCTCTAGTCCTCCCAGATGTTACCAAGCTTATCCACTTGTTCATTCACAAACAATGAGGAATTGCAAACATTAGGACCATGGAGGAGACCCTTGCTTTACTTGTCAAAAAGACTTGACCTGGTAGCCTCTGGTTGGCCCTCTTGTCTCTGGGTCACTGCAGTCATGGTTATGCTAATTAAGGAGGCAGACAAATTCACTTTTGGCCAAAATCTGGCTTTGACTGTTCCCCATGACTGTTAAACTTTGCTCCAAGGAGCCTCTGGCCTCTGGATGTCAAACGCTCATATCACCGAATATCAGTCTTTTGCTTGACCAACCAAGACTAACTTTCTCTCCTACTCTGTGCCTCAACATGGCCACTCTCTTGCCAGATAACAATCTGGAAACACCAGTGCATGACTATGAAGACGTGTTGGACATCTCTCAGGTCAGCCTGCCCAATCTTTGTGACACTCCCTTAAGCCAGGCTGATGCTGACCTGTTCATGGATGGTAGCAGCCTGGTAATAGAGAGTCCATGAGACTGATATAGCCATAGCCACAGCTAATCATTTAATCTGGTCACAGGTCTTGTCTCAAGGTACCTCAGTTCAGAAAGCTGAGTTAACTGCTTTAAGTCAGGCACTGCGCTGCGGAACAGGTAAGTGAGTAAACATCTTCACCGACAGCCAGTATGACTCTGCTACACTCCATGTCCATGGCATGATCTATAAGGAATGAGGTCTTCTTACTGCAGCAGGTAAGACTATAAAAAATAAGGAAGATCTCAGTCCTCTTACTGGCCATGTGGCTCCATAAAGAGATAGCCGACATTCATTGCAGGGGACACCAGAAGTCTGACATTCCAGAAGCAACTGGGAACTGTCTGGTGGATCAGGTGGTTCAAGAGGCCGTGGAGTTCCCAGTTGAACCCCTGACTATCCTGCTAACTAAAACCTTTTCAGCTCCTTCTCTCCCAAAGCCACCATCCTATATCCAAGAAGAAGAGGAGCAGGCTGACCTAGAGGGAGTTTACAAAAACTCCACTGGGTGGTGGACCAAGGACTCTAAAATTTTTCTACCTGAAGACTTGGGACATGCCTTGGTAAAACAACTACATTCCACTACCCACTTGGAAGGTACTAAAATGACTGAACTGTTAAATAGTTTTTATCATATTGATTTAAAGAGCACAGCTACAATGGCAGCCACTATGTGCCCAGCCTGAGCCCAAGTCAATGCAAAACAAGGGCTCAGGCCTCCAAATGGCATTAGGGCTCAGGAAGTAATCTGCAGAGAAAAGTGGGAAGTAGACTTCACTGAAATAAAACACCCTCACATGAGATACTATTTGCTAGTATTTATAGATACTTTTTCTGGATGGGTAGAGGCCTTTGTCACCAAAAATGAAACTGCCCTAATGGTTACCAGGTTTTTATTAAATGAAATCATTCCTCAGTTTGGGCTCCCCCCCTCTATTGGTTCTGACAATGGTCCTGCCTTCACCTCATCCATAGTTCAACTGGTTAGTAAAGCACTGAACATTAATTGGAAACTACATTGTGCTTACCAACAGCAGAGCTCTGGACAGGTAGAACACATGAACCAAACCCTAAAGTGTACTTTAACCGAATTATTAACAGAAACTGGTGAAAAATGGGTAAATCTTTTGCCTATAGTTCTCCATACCCAATGCACCCCATATAAGGCTGGGTTTAGTCCATATAAAAATCATGTTTAGGAGACCCTCTCCTTTGTTGCCTTGGTTGCAGTATCCCATCCTAGAAGAAATAACTAATCAATCCCTGTTACAGTGTCTCTGGTCTTTACAACAGGTCCAGTCAGCAGTGCACTCCAACGTTCATGCTCTCTTGCCCACTCTGTCCTCCAGGCCTTGTCATTCATTCAAGCCCGATGACCTGGTTTTTGTCAAAAAGTTCCAAAAAGAAGGATTAACTCCTGCCTGGAAGAGACTGTTTCTCATCATCCTTACCACTCAAACTGCAATCAAGGTCGATGGGATACCAGCCTGGATTCACACACCTGAGTCAAAAAAGGCCAAGGAGACTGACATAATTCCACCAGCTCACTCCATTGACTTTGCTGCAGCTTGAGGAACCCTAAATATTCATTCCCTTGCTCAACAAGGGGAAACAACCACAATTCAGCCAACTGGACTGCAACTAAAGACTCCAAGAACCCTCTCAAGATCACTTTTTGATTTATATCTGAACCATGAGAATCAAATAAATTGGTGGCTAATTTTATTTTAAATGCACTGTACTCAATTTTTAGATGTTTTTGTTGTCCCACTTGCACTGGGTTTTGGCATAGAACTGATTACTGTAGCTTCTGCAGATTGGAAATGTTGCAAGAAAGCTCTGTTAATGCTGTTCTATCTCTCATGCACAGGATACATTATTGCCCTCTTGCGCTTACAATAAGTTTAACTGTTTTATCCTAACTAAGGCCCAGTGACCCATCACATATTCTTTCACCCTAGCCAGATTAGACAATGATGTAAACAATGGAAGAATATTAGATACTAACAATTGGTCCACTGCCCAGCCTTCCAACCCAGTCACATTTAAAATGGACCTTATAAGCCAGGGTGGTGGCTCAGCCTATAATCCCACACCTTGGGAGGCTGAGGTGAGTGGATTGCCTGAGCCCACGGGTTCGAGGCCCACCTGGGCAACTTGGCGAGACCTCATCTCTACAATAAATCAAAAAATTAGCCAGGCATGGTAGCACATGCCTGTAGTTCCAGTTACTTGGAAGGCTAAGGCAAAAGGATTGCCAGAGCCCAGCAGGTTGAGGCTTCAGTGGCCGGGAGCAGCCACTGCACTCCAGTCTGAGTGACAGAGTGAGACTCCAACTCAAAAAAATAATAATAATAAAATAAAATAAAATGGACCTTATAGACCTGACAGGCCAAAGAGGAAATGGAACAGGTAATTTCCCTACCACAGCATATTATGGCCCCAAGGAAAAATTTACATCATGCAAGGGAAAACGGTTCCCATATACAGATTTAAGAAATACAGATTTTTTTGGCTGGGCTCAGAGGCTCAGCCTGTAATCCCAGCACTTTGGGAGGCCGAGGTGAGTGGATTGCCTGAGCCCACGGGCTCGAGACCTGCCTGGGCAACTTGACGAGGCCTCATCTCTACAACAAATCAAAAATTAGCCAGGTGTTGTAGCACGCGTCTGTAGTTCCAGCTACTCGGAAGGTGGAGGAGGAAGGATTGCCGGAGCCCAGCAGGTCGATGCTGCGGTGGCTAGGAACAGCCATTGCACTCCGGTCTGGGTGACAGAGTGAGACTCCAACTCAAAAAAAAAAAAGAAATATAGATTTTTATATATGCCCTGGAAAACCTCAAGATTTAATCTGTAGAGATGCCACCTAATACTTTTTTCCATGATGGGTATATGTCACCATCGCATCATACCCTAAGGGACCCAGTGACAGCTCCCAAATCATTGTATGGAGAGCTGCCAATCCTAGCTATTCACCCATATATAAATTAACAACCCCTCCTTACTTACCTGGAATTTAAGTCTCACATGGGCATACACCTCTACTTAAGTGTTTTGGACGGGGGAGTCATGTTTACCATCCATTGAAAAGTCATTCTCAGGCCAGGCTCGGTGGCTCGGCCTGTAATCCCAGTGCTTTGAGAGGCCGAGGTGAGTGGATTGCCTGATCCCACATATTCGAGACCCAACAGGGCAACTTGGCAAGACCTCATCTCTACAATAAATAAAAAATTAGCTGGGCGTGGTAGTGCATGCCTGTAGTTCCAGCTCTTTGGAAGGCTGAGGCGGAAGGATCGCCAGAGCCCAGCAGGTCAAGGCTGCAGTGGTGGGGAGCATGCCACTGCCCTCCAGTCTGGATGACTGAGTGAGACTCCAACTCAAAAAAAAAAAAAAAAAAAAAAAGAAAAGTCATTCTCTTCAAAACTCAAATGGGGCCATTAATAGGATTAAACAACCCCCTCTTCTATGTACATAAACAGCCTTCTCAGTCACCTAAAAAGTCAGTTTCAGAAATTTGGCCCAGGGACCCAACCTCCCAAGTTACCTTCAGAGGTTCATCTGGGGGCTACTCCTCTAACCAAACAGCCTCCTAGCTTGCTTCCTACCTTGACTAATATGCACCATTTACTCAATGAAACTTGGCCTCAATTAGCCCAGGATTGTTGGCTATGTTTAACCCCAAGTTTCACCTTTACTGCAACCCCAACTTCTAAGGTCTGTAATATGTCCCTCATCATGTCAGCATCCAAAATATATGTAACTCCCACCAATGCTTGGCTTGCATGCCCTGCAGGGCTCACAAGATGTATTGCCCCTGAAATGTTAAATAATAAGCCCACCACCTTATGTATTGCTGTGCGTATGCTACCCCAAGGAGACTTGTTCTTCAATTCTCCTAGCATTCCTGCCACTCATCACAAACAGGCAGTTCCTTTCCTAATGCCTGCTCTGATAGGTTTTAGCATGGCAGGAACAGTGACCCTAAGTACTGCTGTGTTAATTTATTCTGAAGTGGGGGTATCTCATCTCACACATCAACTTGATAATGACATGGAGACTCTACAAGATACCATAGATCAACTCCATGACCAACTAAACTCCTTAGCAGAAGTTGTTCTCTAGAACCACAGAGGTTTAGACCTACTGTTTTTGTCACAGGGAGGATTCTGTGTAGCTCATGGAAAATAATGTTGTTTCTATGTTAAAAAGATGGGAATTATAAAAGGTTCCCTCCAACAGGTCTGGCAAAATACACAAAAAAGAAAACAAGACAGAGAAAAAAATAAAAACTGGTTCTACTCACTGTTTGACTGGAACCCATGGCTAACTACTCTAATTACTAGCCTGACCAGACCACTCATACTTGTCTTTCTTGGTTTACTCATGGGACCTTGCATATTAAACTGGTTTATTAAATTTGCTAAATAATCCATCAAAATTCTGTAAAACTTATAAATGTAAAAACTTGTTAAAACTCCATAACTATAACTGAAGGGCCAACAAATTGACTCAGGCACAACTAAAATGGAGGAATACAATGATCATAAAGCAACTGATAGGAATGAAATAGCTAATCAAATAGTTGAAATAACTTGCTTGGCATAAGTAATTCCTTTTTTTTTTTTTTTCCAGTCTTTCATCTTAGCTGCCTGCCCAACCTAAGAATAACCTCCCAATGTATTCATGTGATTGCTGTAACATTCCCATGGCCAGGTCACATCTTTGGTCCCCTAAGCTGATCATGTTGACCATTCCTGCTGATGGTTTACAAAACTCCCTAGCCACAAGTTCCATGTAATTGTATGCTTTGTTAACTGAAATCAGATGTGCCAAGAAATTGTTAAGAAATTATTACTTGCAAGATTTCCCTACCACATTCCTATAATTTGTTCCTATATTTTGTTCCCCTTTGTTTTTAGTTCCTCGTTCCCTCACCCCTTGCTCACCCCTCTGCTATGTAGCCCACTTGCAGATTTTACCTCTAAAAGCATCTTGCAAATTCCACTCAAGCGTCTAGAGTCTCCTGGCATGAGCCTACTCATGATCAGGTGCTTAGTAAACGCTCGTGATTTGGCCTTGGCATGCTGATGTGTCTTCTTCTCACAATTCGATCACAACAATAAGGGATATTGGTATGTAATTCTTTTTGTTGTTGTTGTTGGCTCTTTACCTGGTTTGGAAGCACAAGCCCATTAACAATAGCCACACACACAAAAAAAAATACCTCAACATATTCCTAACCAGAGAATTGAAAGAACCTTTACACTGAGAACTACAAAACATTGCTCAAAGAAGTCCAAGAAGACACAAACAAATGTAAAAATATTCCATGCTCATGGATAGGAAGAATCAACATTGTTAAGATGTCCATTCTAACAAAGGCAATCTATAGATTCAATGCAATACCCATTAAATTACAAACAACATTCTTAGACCTGGAAATGACAAAACAGAAATTTATATGGAAAAATAAATGGACAGGGCTCAGTGGCTCAGCCTGTAATCCCAGCACTTTGGAAAGTCGAGGTGAGTACATTACTTGAGACTGCAGGTTTAAAACCACCCTGAGCAACTTGGCGAGATCTCATCTCTACAATAAACCAAAAAATTTGCTGGGGGCACTAGCGCATACCTGTTGTTCTGGTTACTTGCAAGAGAGGGCAAGTGGATCGCTGGAGCCCAGGAGATCTATGCTTCTGTGGTTGTGAGCTTGCCAGTTCACTCCAGTCTGGGTGACAGAGTGAGACTCCAACTCAAAAAAAAAAAAAACAAAATACCATATTGAGATACCACCTAATCCCAGTAAGAACGGCCACCATTAATAAAACAAACAACACTAGATACTGTCAAGGATGCAGAAAAAAGGTCATTTATGACCACAAATATCAAAAACAATCCTTAGCAAAAGAAACAAATTAGGAGGTATCACACTTCCAGACTTCAAACTTAACTATAAGGCTATGACAGTTAAACAGCCTGGTATTGGAACAAGAACAGGCATATGAACCAATGGAACAGGATAGAGATTCCAGAATCAAAACCTCAATTTCTCAACCAATTCATCTTTGACAAAGCCTCCAACAACAATCACTGTAAATGGTCCTGGGAAAACTGTAAATAGTCCTGGGAAAACTGGCTGATCACAAGCAGAATATTGAAACAGGACCCCTACCTATCACCATACACTCAAATTAACTCTGAAAGGGATGGGCATGGTGGTTCACACCTATAATCCCAACACTTGGGAGGTCGAGGTGAGAGGATTGCCTAAGCCCACAGATTTGAGCTCAGTCAGGCAACTTGGTGAGACTTCATCTCTTCTGTAAATCCAAAAATTAACTGGATGTGGTGGCACATGCCTGAAGTGCCAGCTACTTGGAAGGCTGAGATGGAAGAATCACTTAAATCCAGCAGGTCAAGGCTATGGTGGCAATGAGCATGCCCCTGAACTTCCAGCCTAGGCTACAGGGTGAGACTCTGACTCCAAAAAAATACAAAATTCAAAATGGATCAAAACCTAAATGTGAAACTTCAAACTATAAGACTCAGAAAATGCAGGAGACACCCTTGTGGAAATTGGAACTGGCAACCAATTCCTGACCAAAACCACAAGTTCCCATGCCATAGAAGATAAGATAGACAAATGAGACCTCAACCAAACTGAAAAGCTTCTGCAAAGCAAAAGAAACCATCAAGGGAGCAGGGAGACAGCCCACAGAATGGGATAAAATATT